CAATGAATAACCACTCCACCACCAAGGCTCCCGAACGAAATACTAGATAAGTATACTGTTTCATGGGACTGGGATACAGAAAATTAAACGTTTAATTTTAAAAGCATCCGAAAAACGTGGTGCTAGGAAATACTATCATGAGAAAGCTAACCTGACGTTTTAATAAGTCAATGTCTGCCCTTTACCTTCTCACACAAAATGCCACAGAAGATCAGCATCAAGCAAGCTGGAAATGTAGGCATCTGTTTCTAACACCCATTACGTTCACTGCTACGTCCTTTATACTGCGGGACTGTGTCTGCACAACGATTTATTAGAAGAAGGAAACGACGCTTGTACTCGTGGGACCCTCATGAGAAATCAGTATCAAGTGCGTACTCTGCCACCTGAAGATGAGAATCTTCAGTGAAGTGGAGAACCCGCAGTCACTCGCAAATTCTGTTTTCGCTATTCTTTACATGGTACAGAGGAGCCTTGGTGACTCAGTGGGTTATGTGTTGGGCTACAAACCACACGTCAGTAGTTCAAAGCCACCAGCTGCTCTGTGGGGAAAAGATGAGTCTCTCTGCTCCCTCTGGAAACCCCACCCCCACCCCCACCCCCCTCAGGCAGTTCTACTCTGTCACACAGGATAGATGTGATTCAAAGACTTGATGGCACCAAGTTTGTTTTAATTTTATGTAGTGTTATAGAAAGCAGCAACGTTTCCCTCAGTAAACTCCTTCAGCACAGTGCTTCTCCACTTCCTAATGCCACAACCTTTAAATACAGTTCCTCATAAAATTATTTTTGTTGCTACTTCATAACTGTAATTTTGCTACTGTTATGAATCGGGCGACCCCTGTGAAAGGGGTCATGACATGATGCTCAGCACCCTCCACTGAACGGTATGAAACACACTGTAGGCACAATGAACATCCTTTCTCGTTTTCCACAATGTTGTCATAGCATCACATTTTGGTATTAGCTGTGACGTTGGGGCATTTTTTTTTTGTTTCATTCTCTGGACCCTGCATTTTGGCTCATCTCTGCCGACACTCAGATATAGGACTGCACAGCACCCACCAGTACTTGAGACATTTTCTCACAGTTTCATGAGTTTCTGTGGAACACTGCAGCAAATCACAGAACCCAGGGCCATGTGGGGTAATTGAGAATAGCACCTTGGGGTTGAGCATTTGGGACATCTTGATCCTCCGACTTCTTGGGAATAGCCTGGTCTTCCTTCTCCTAAAAGAAAATGTTCCACAGTATGGGTAAGCACCAGGAGCCCTGGTAGCATAGGCAGTTATACACTGGGTGACTAATTACAAAGTCAGTGATTCAAACCCACCAACTGCACCACAGGATAAAGATGAGGGTTTCTCCTCTGGTGAAGACTTATGTAACTCATAGGGGCCACTCTACTCTGTCCTATGGGGTTGCTAAGACTTAGAATCAGCTCATTGGCAATTAAGCTGTCTTGTTTTCATGGATATGCATTGGCAACAGTTTGAATGCAAAACAATAGCATCAATTCACCTGGAATCCTGAGCCAACCCAGGAAACAGGTGCTCATTGGTAATGGACACAGAACACATGCTAAGGACCAGAACAGCTCCGAGGTGCACAGAGCAAGGACAGGACACCGTACCAACCCCAGCCATCAACCCCTCAACTCTGCAGTGAATGTGTACAGGCAGGTAATGAAATAAATGAAAGAGACACAGGAGCAAAACAAGCACCCCTGAGCAGTGCCAACTACCTTCTAAACGCTGGACTTACCCCAGTTCAGGGAAATGCAGGCGGGCCTGAGACCTCAGGGGCAGACAGATGTAGAACCTCCCCTACACGGTGGAGGAGTGGTACCCAAGGACAGCCCATCGCTGCCATGGGTAAAAGAAAAGGGGTAGCAAGAAGGAAGGGAGGGAGGGTGGAAGGAAAAGAAGAGTGGGAAGGAAAAGCCAGAGGGCACACTGAGCATCCAAGAGGCTCACCAGTTAGGTAACATACATGAAATGCACACAACAGAGGGTCACTTCTTTCCCTCCTGTTTGTTGGTGTGTGTCAGGTGTGTGTGTGTGTGTGTGTTTTCTGTTTTTTGTGATTTTGTTTTTTAAGGCTTGGCTCTCACAGCTCACCTGTCATTCTATCTCCGGTAAAGATTAATAACATTGCATATGGAATGTTAGGAATAAGCTATTTCGCTTACATGGCTCTGATGTGAAATTATGCAGCAAGTCCCTCTGCGTGTAAAAGCAACCTAATTCCATGTGAAAAGTTCCCAACACAGAGAAGTGAAACTTAGGAACTCGCTAGAGTCGGCTCTGCAAACAGGTTCAGAAAAATCATCGGTGGTGATGGAAACCGTGTTCCCGAACTCTAGCACCAACCTAGAGATGGTGAGGTCGAAGGGACAGCAAACCCTAGCTCGTCCAGAATCTTCTCCACCAAAGAGCTGAGATGCAGACTTTGCTGCTTTCAGTCCACATTCACCAGAGAAGTAGAAAGATACTCAAGAGTCACACCTGCCTTTCTTTCTTTTCACTCGGAGGCTGGGAGAGGGTGCACTTCATTTCAGTCCAACAGTCAATCTGCAGAAAGCCCCTCATGCCCTCCCCCTGCTGCAGCCTGTCTCTCCGCAGGCCTGGTAAACGGAGGAGGGAAAACCTAGTTAGGATTCATGTTAGGGCAAGAAATCTGAAATGACACATCGGATGGGTCCAAAAACAGGGCACGAAACTGGGTATTGGCTTGAAGATCAAAGAAAGTTGTGGCTCTTTGCATAACTAAGACTATGGAATTTTTTTTAATTCCTAGAAGCCATTGTCCAGGAAAACGAGGGTCCAAACAATGATGAACCACCAAGGACACGCTGTTAGACCTGGAGTGACTTTTTACAAACATGGTCCAGGACTGAAGGGTAAGCTTTTTGCTGTTGCTACTGAATGTCCGACTTCTCGAGCTCGCCTGATGCAGTTTGCTTTACATGACCTTCGTGGAGAAGCCAGGGAAAGAGCAGCGTTCACACGTGGGAGTGAAGACGAGGCAGCACAGAAACAGGCGGTGGAAGAAGGAGATGCACAAACAAGACCCAGAGGTGGGCTACTCACCACCTCTAGCTACGCCAAGCCCAGAGACTAGCAAGAATACCGGCACTCCCTCCCCTCGCTGTGGGGAAAGGTCTTGCTAAATCCAATGGGATCCCACAGGAGAGCTGAGCGCATATTTGGAAAGGTCACCCTACCCAAAAGTGAAAAGGATGTTTTCCAATGTACTCCTATTTCCCTGGATCGACACCATCTATGAAACCAGAGTAACAAAATTACATTCATTTTAATTGCTAATTATTGACGGAGGGGAAGTGAGCTGAATCAATGGCCACAAATTCCACCTGAGCAAATGTTTATTGTACTAATTCGCTTTGAATGTGGAGTACGCAAATCCAAAATTTATTTGAGGCAGCAAGAACATAAAATGGTTAGTTGTGCTACACAACAGGGAGCAGGGTAAATAAAAGAGAGGGTCATGGTAGCACAAGGGGAGAGAAGGAAAACCCAGAAAGGCTACAAAGACCGGAGCCCAGAGTGCAAGAGCAGGGGAAGTTCCCCATGAATAAACACACACACATCCACAGCGAAAAAACAAAAACAGAGACAGAGCTAAACAGGCCAGTCACTGAGCTAGGTGTTCATTGGTAAATATCTCCTAGTCTTAGCTTGCTCATCTATCCAATGGAGCCAAAGAACCACCTTTTAATCAATACATGGAAATGTAGCGCATGTGTAAAAATGCACACGTTAGGCCACTTTTAAGAATTAGAAGGAGGAGATGAAGAAAAGACAAGATTCGAATAGTTAACTGTGATCAAGAACTGCTAGGCACATTTGGGATTGCGCCCACTGTCTACATTGCCCAGTGATCTCTCATTCACAGGTTTTAACTTCATGGAGGCTCACTGTGGCCAACTCGTTTTAACAGACAGGGATGAGGTCGTTGATATCATCACATGAGCTAAATCCAAGCTGGGCCAGTCCCTGGATGATCTGCGTTACCCAATATGTCTAACATGAATGAAAATGGCCTTCCAAATTAGGGCCTGAAAGCGCTACAAGATACGACGTTTGAGCAACATTCAATCTCCCTAACAACAGTTCACCTGCATCCTGCTCTTTCTGGGCATGAGGCAAAACACTGGACAAGTTCTATTACTGAGTTTGTTTTACAAATGAGGAAACTCAGGCTGAAATATGTTCCTTAACTTGCACAAGATCCACAGAATAATGGTGGGGGCTAGGTTTCAAAAACAGATGTGGGAATTCCAAAAACATGCTTTTAAGGATTATACTAAATGTCAAGCTCTGTAAGTACCTTCTAAGTATTAGAAAACATTTATATTATTCTCAAGAAAATTGTATTCTTTTATAGTCTCTTCCTAAAATTTTCCCCGTAAAGCAGCAAGCTATGTGCTAGATGGATACAGATAGTGTATGTACATTTGTATGTATGTGCAACAGAAGACAGTTCTGAAAATTCCACAGACTGAATTGCTTATTACACATGAAGTCAAAGAACCTGAGTTCTGAGAGGTCAGCTCAGTCACCTGACATAGCACAGTTCATAGAGCTATGAAGCTACACTCTAGTTTGATGAATAGTATCTGGAAGCTTGTGAGCAGCCACCAAAGACTACAAGGGGGCTTCAAAAGTTTGTGGCAAAAGTGGAAGTAAGATGACAGATTGTTCCAGACACTTTACGAAGTCCCCTTGCACTGGTCTCTTCCCATCTGAAGCCAAGGATTATGAATGCAAGCAGATTCAATTAAACAATTAATGCGCAGGCCTAAAGATGCACGTCAACATCAAAGGCCTCCAACCCGAGTCCAGAAGAACTAGATAGTGGCCAGCTACCAACCGCTCACGCCAGGAACTTGATAGAAAGCCCTAGCTGGATTGAGAGGAAAATGTAGAACTAAACGCGTATTTGTTTTGTTTGTTTTTTTTAAAAAAAAGCAGACTTACTGGACTAGAGAGACTGGAGAAACCCCCAAGACGACCGTCCGCCGTCACTCTGTCTACCCGGAACTGAAGCCACTCCTGGAAGTCGCCTTTCATCCAAATAATAGATTGTCCTGTAACAGAACCAGTAATACTCATGAGAAATATGCTCCATATAACAATCAACTGTGTAAGACCAGGCAGGCAACGTTGGTCCAAAAGTTTAAGGATGAGAAGACAAGGAGGAAACTGACAGGATGGAAACAAGGAAGGTAAGGTGGGAATTAGGGGGTGAGGGACAGGGTGGGGAGTTGCTGACACACAGCAGGGACAGCCTTGTGTATGAGCTGTTGAGTGTAACTGATACATAGTGTAAATTTTCACCTAAAACACAGTAAAATATTCAAAACCGAATAAAAGAACACATGCAGAAGCACTGCCATGTACTCATCCCATGACAGGCAGTAGGGTGGGGGGGGGGGCAGGTGGAAAGGTGAACCACCCAAGAGTTTTAGTTATTTCCATTAAGACTCACACCTTGAATCTGTATTGACCTGCTGACTTCCTGCAACCAATAAAGTGTGACAGAAGTGACATTCTGGGCCAGATTGTGTGTGTGTGTGTGCAAGTTATTTTTTTAAAATCATTTTATTGGGGGCTCATACAACTCTTACCACAATCCATACATCCATCCATTGTGTCAAGCACATTTGTACATTTGTTGCCCTCATCATTCTCAAAACATCTGCTTTCTACTTGAGTTCTTGGTATAACATAACTGCTCCTTAGGTCTCCTGAAAGTTTAAACCTTTAATGCGCTCAGACAGCCTTATCTTTCTCCTATGAAGCAGGTGGTGTGCTTGAATTATAGCAGGCCTACAGGTACCCCACTATGCCACCATGGCTCCGACCTAAACACGAGTAGCTTTCTAATGTGGAACAACCATCACTTCATGTCTGTGAGACCACTTCTCTTGAGAGTCTGCAGGTAAGGAAGATATTCTGCGGTCTCAGTTTCTTCATCTATAAATGGAAATGTCCCCGAATAATGCTCCGTATCAGATGACATGATACAACATCATCCTGCGACATCTCACCCCTTTCCAACAATCCCACGGCTTCTGTGATCTTTTTTTCTTACTGCAACAAGGTAGAGACAGCTGGATAGATACACCATTGGGGTTAGCCAGAAAGAAACCCCCACCCTTCCATGAATCATGCATTACTTCAAATTCACCACACATGCAGAAACCATCATCATGCACTCTCTCTCTCTCTCGAACCTTGACTTTGTAGGACTTCTTGGTGAAAACCAGTCACCAAATAGGAACTGTAAACGTTGTCTTCTTAGCTATTGATTTAAAAACTCAACAAGGCACTCCGACCAGCTTTAGCAGTCTATAACAAGTACTTTGACTTGCCTTTTCTTTTTTTTTTTTTGGCTTTTTGCACAAGGGTTGGCTATTCAGAATGAAAGTACAGCAGACTCCTCCCCAACTGTGGTCCCCCAGCTATTAATGAACAACAGAGCTTCCTGTCTCTGGGTCCCCCCAGCTACAGGGGGCTAAATCCTAGCAGCTTTTGCAGTCCTGCACCCCTACCCAAGCCCCCTCATGCTAAACGCCTCTCTGGTCCCAGGAAGTCTTTATCACAGCAGACATTTCTCAGACAATACCCCTTGGCCTAGAGAAACTAAGACCGTCATGGGGGAAGCTGAAAACAGAGCTAATGTCTGGCACACAAAGCTTGCGATCTCGGTCTCATTATCTCTACTTCTATCTCCATTTCAGCTGATGGACCTGGACCGTTCTAAGTCTCTGAAGAGGCGGAGCTCAGTGGACACTTTCAGGTTGTTTTGGAAGTGGTTAAACAGCTTCTGGTCCACGATTCTACAACCCAGCATTCGTGGATGCTTTCTGTAAGGACCTTGAGGGGCACAGCCTGCCCAGCAGGGCTCACCACCAGAAAATTCCAATTTGAGGTCATACACCCGCACGCAGATCTGTGTTGTTACATATTAACAGGTCTTTTTCTTAAAGGTTTGAAGATGCAACACAGCAGCAGTTTTCACCTCCCACTTTAGGGCTATTCGAAAGTAGTTCACCGTCTAGCCTGCTGTCCACTTTGTTCTCACTGTGCTGATAAACTGTCTCCCACTCCCTTGACTTCACTCCTTACATCCTACAGGATTGTATCCTACAGGGCAGCCTTTGCATTTCTGACCTATTTTCAGGTCTTTTAAAAATTTGTTTTCCCATCTGTCTTGCTCTATAAACAAAAGCTTCCATCCCCAGCTTTTCCTCCATCACCATGCTCCTTACCTACACCCACCTATTTGTTTCAGTATCTTGACAGGGAGACACCTTATAAAGGCTGGGGACCCTCTTGGACCCTCACACGACTATCTGGACCATGACGTAACCCCACATGCTTTTCTGAGCTGTCAGGGCCCCAGTTGGTGAGATGATGATGCTGTCAGTCACCAGGGAAATTTTCTGCATCTGAGAGGCTCTGACTGCGCTTCTCTGTGCGGCACCTCCAGCTGCCTTGGTGCACTGTGTCAGTGGATTAAAATAGCACCGGCTGGATGACTTCACTGGTTCTCACAAACAGGCCAGTTGGCATAACTGCTACAGCCTCCTGCCAAGGAGAAAACTATTTTTTTTGTGGGGGGTGTTTCTACTCACCCCTAAGGGGAATAATTTATTTCATTCTGACACTGGTGGGGGTGGGGGTGGCTCCTTTTCTGAATGCAAGATGCTTCAAAATATTTGAACCTACAACCAGAATCTGGACTCTTGTGTTCTTATTTCCTTGTGTTAAACTTCAAGGGCATGAAAACAGCTATGGAAATTCAGCATAAATCGAATATTCTTCCTTCCTTCCAGTTTGGGCCAATTAGGACCTTGAAGAGTTTTACTGATAACGGGTACTCTACACAATCCTGTAAAGGCATCTTTCTCTTGTTTGTCTTTGTGCACAAGTAAAGACAGCAGCATAAGGGGTCCGGGTAAGAATTCATTTATCTCAGCACCTAAACACCTAGAGAGGACATTGTAAGAGCATTTTCATGTATGCAGCAAGCTTTAGTGGTTAATTGTGAATGACTTTTGAAATTTAAAAAATGCCTAAGGTATTCGTACAATACAAATGGTGCTCCTCTACATGAAATAACTGCATTTATTTCAGTCTTCAAATGCTTCCCTCAGAGTTTTTCACCACCTTTCATAGTTAACACAGGCTAGCTAGTGAGAGAGGACTGTACTAGAAAGATGCGACTGGGGGGGTGGGGGTGTTCTATTGTAACTCAGTGCTACATCTGCACTACACTTTGATTCAAGAGACCATTTAGATTAACTGCTTCAGTGACCTATGGACACAAGATAGATGCACAGGTAAAAAAAAGCTCCCGTATGATTCGACAGACACAGACAGAGCTTAATTAAATAATCTGGTTCACTGATTTAAGAGGCCTCCTTTAAAAGGGGTGCAGTCACTGGCCCCAACTGAGGGGGGGGGTCACAAACACTACTCTTACCACCCTGACAATCGGCATCTGAAATGCCCTGCCATTTTGTAATCAGTTGTGGGAGACCGCCTCTTTCTACCAATCCCAGCTAAAATAGAAGAAAAGACTCTTGGGGGGGGCCATAAATCACTAACATGGATATTTTACCGAGACTTCTTTAACTACACAGTCATTTGTTCTTACCATGCAATCATTTACCGTACGCACGACTAGCCAAGTGTCCGCTAAGAATGGAGACCGTGGCAGGTACTCTGAACGCACTCCCTACAGCGCTGAAAGTGACACTAGCATCGCTCACAAGGGTTTTATGCGCTCAGTCGGTTTCCGTTGCGTGTCATTTAGCCGAGTAGCCTTAACAAGTTGAGACGTGGATTACCACAATATTTTCTCATTATTGTAACCCAATGATTTAGAAAATTTGGTTCTGAAGGTACCTCTCCAAGTTGAATGGCCTCATCCTAAAAATCATAGGTGTTTCTGGTATCATTCAGGAGGATGTTCATGAAATTAATCGTTACCATTTGTCTGTACTGCACTGGGTAATAAACAAAGATACCAAGGAGATTTTGAATGCTGAAAGGTCACTTATAATCTCTGTCCCAGAAGAATTCACACAGTGATCGAAGGGGGAGTAGTTTGTGAATCATGAAGGATGTAAGTTAAGATCTTGTAAAAATTTCACACTTTACTAATGTGCAAAATGACACAGGTATGAAGTGGTCATCTTGGAGTCAATATTAAGTGTCATTTACCTGTTTAGTCCATTGTATTTTTACTCTGCGTCTGATCCATGCACACATGCATACACATATACCTATGCCAGTTTGTGTCCAAGTCACACACAGACACATATGAACACATGTGCATCAACCTGTCTGCCCGATTCATATACAGGCATTATACCACCTACCTGTGATTCCTGCACATGGACAAACAACATGTTATCTGTTTCTGATCCACACACACATTTTCCACTACTTTGTCTAGCTCACACACAGACATTTACATGCATACATACTACACATTATTTTCTGAGATATTCTTATACACACCCACATAGTTTACTACTGTACATCTATCTGGCTTACATGTAAAACACACTACTCTGACTCTGGTAGATATTGTGCATTTTTTGTTTTTAATTTTTTAGTTGAACTTGTTTCTCATGAAAAGCTCCAAGTCCATTTCCGCTTTATTTTTCCTTTTTTAAAGTCACTACTTAGTTATGAGGGATAAGGAAGCATCTGGATGGATTTATTTTTTTAAAGAAACATACTATATATATTTACATGGCCCATCTCAAGAAATGAACTCAACAAGATCCTATTAAACTCTCCGTATATGTGGTTCTCTTTCCTATATGTACATACATACTGACATAAAGATACACTTACACAGTGAAATTCAAAAGAGCATTTCATGTTCATGTCTGAAATAGGCCTTTTAAAATGAGAACAATGTGAATCACTATACATGCAACCATTTCAAATTCCTAATACGCCTTAAAAAAAAAAAACACCTTATCATCCAGTTGATTCTGGCTCACAGCAAGGCCATACAGGTTTCTGAGACTGCAATCTTCGTAGGAGTAGACAGCCTCATCTT